ATTATTATTATCAAAATATATTTTATTATTATAAATTGTTTTAATATTATTATAAAATAATGATGATTATTATAAAAAGTATTATAAATTGTTATATTATTATAAAATCAATATAATTGTATTATAATTTTGTATTATTATAGTTATTTTAATATTTTATATATAACTATTATTATTATTGCCATCATTGTTTATGTCTATTTATTTTATATACAGTATAACTTTTAAAGAACTTCACAACATTTATTCTGGTATATTTTCTGCAGTTTATTGAGTGGCCTCAGGTGGCGCTGAGGAGCACAAGTTTTGATTTGATTTGATTTGATTTTATTTTATTTTTTGTGATGTCATCATTTATGCTTTTATTAAGGGCATGTGCATATGCTGTGCATGTCAAATCTGGATGCTGTGCTCACTAACCTCAAAAGGGCTTTATTATATTACTAATGTAAATGATGCTTGAATTGCAGTGCATAAGTAATTATCATGCCATATTCAGGAGCATTGTAAAGCTTATGTATATTAACTAAAGCACAGATGTCCTGAACAATGATGTGTTACACAGTTTAGCATCATTATACACAAATATTTGACCACTGAATAACCATTGAACAATCAGAATCAAATATCACTGTAATAATATCATTATCAGATGACACAGTAAACTATGAATATAAAGCTGTGCTTTGCAAATACTGAAATATATTTTAAAAGTAGACAGTAGAGATAGAAAAAAAGCTCATTAAATGCTAATTGTTGTTGGCTGGAATATTGACTTTTATTTCTTGTTTCTGTTCTTCATCACATGACCGTGTGTCGCAGGAATCAGTCTAATGTGCGCTGCATGCACACAGCCGTCAAACTCAATGAAGTGGTGGTCAATAAGTGAGACGAGCGATGGCTCGATTCATAACACGACACTTTAATTTATGACTCTTACTGTTTTCTTTGGTTTGTTCGTACAATCTGTGCTAGTTTTTATGTCTGTTTATTGTGCAACATTGTTTGTTTTTTCCGAAGGCTAAAACGTTGAGTGATATTCAGCGTCACAAAAGCAGGTAAACATTTGAGTTGCTAATGCCCGTTTAATATTGATTCATTCGTCTCCATTATGAACCTGCATTGCTTTTTTATTTGCATATGCTAGCTATGATTCAAATCACTTGATACCCAAAATAACATCTAGCTTCAGTGAACCAGACCGCGAAAACAAATGTTTGTGCTGTTTGGCATATCCAAGATGCGAAAACGCACTTTTTCCGATATCAAGGGAATGTTTGAGTTTTTTACATTTGGATAATTTTAACAATAATGCAGCGCAGATGATGAATGTGTCGGAAGACGTTACTGACTTCATGATACGGATTGTGCAATAACATTTATTCATTATCAAGGCATCACTAGCCGAACATGTCGTCCACTTACTGAGGGTTTTATATTATAAAAGTTTAAATGTTTAACGCGAACAGCGTTCAAGGAGAAAAGCCATAATGTTTGGTCTCGTTATTGAGTACTGAGGTTTTGTTTTGGCTCCATCTCGGCATGAATCGCTGAAACCAGTTTAATCAGGATAATTTCAGCTGTATTTGCACTTTTTATTAGAATTTTTTTTTTTTTTCGTAAATTGTATGATGAAAGCACAGGGCACGGCTGGCCCATCCAGCACAACATTTGCTGATGATCAACACCAGCACTGCAAAATCTTTTTCTCTCAGCAATAAATGTGTTTTTCGATGAGATGGAATGAAATTTTATCTCTGTCTTGACATTCATGACGATATTGGGTTGTCATTTAACACTTAACATATTAAGTATGTTAAACTTGGAGAATGCTTAAATTAAACGGCATTACTATTAAGAGTAATGTTTAAAAGCATCCAGTTAATGATAGTAATCTATTAGGATTGAAGGTGAAGTGTGTTTTTCCATTCATTATCAAGGCATCACTAGCCGAACATGTCGTCCACTTACTGAGGGTTTTATATTATAAAAGTTTAAATGTTTAACGCGAACAGCGTTCAAGGAGAAAAGCCATAATGTTTGGTCTCGTTATTGAGTACTGAGGTTTTGTTTTGGCTCCATCTCGGCATGAATCGCTGAAACCAGTTTAATCAGGATAATTTCAGCTGTATTTGCACTTTTTATTAGAATTTTTTTTTTTTTTCGTAAATTGTATGATGAAAGCACAGGGCACGGCTGGCCCATCCAGCACAACATTTGCTGATGATCAACACCAGCACTGCAAAATCTTTTTCTCTCAGCAATAAATGTGTTTTTCGATGAGATGGAATGAAATGTAATCTTCTAGTCTTGACGTTCATGACGATATTGGGTATGTTAAACATGGAGAATGCTTAAATTAAACGGCATTACTATTAAGAGTAATGTTTAAAAGCATCCAGTTAATGATAGTAATCTATTAGGATTGAAGGTGAAGTGTGTTTTTCCTAGTGGCATCAAACGGAATTGCAGTTTGTTTGTTTGTTTGTTTGAGTGACAACTGAGCTGGACGTTCACTCAACCAATAGAGTGAATTTGGGGGCGGGGCTATTGGTTTCTGACCAATAGCTGATAGGGGGAGTGCTTAACATTTGTTTGAATACAGAAATTATGTTTAGAAATGACACACTTCACCTTAAACAGGTTTAGGAACTATTGTGTTTAGACAATCACAAAGCAGTGTTAGCTAGATTTACATTTTATTTTTGCTGTTCATTTTTTTAACACGCCGTGTTCTTATACTGTGACAAGCAGTAAGCCATATCTGTCAATCTAACCTGTGACCCATCTCATTGGTCCAAAATCACTGCATATTAAACAGCTGATGTATTCTGATTGGCTGTGACTTTGCAGGATTTTGTCTGTTTTCCGCATTCATTCAACTTGGTTAGGACACGGTGTCACATGCAACGTACATTACCGTTCAAAAGATTTTTTTTGTTTAAAAAAGAAATATACTTTTATTCAACAAGGATGCATTAAACTGATCAAAAGTGACAGTAAAGACATTTATAATGATACAAAAGATTTCTATTTCAAATAAATGCTGTTCATTCAAACTTTCTATTAATCAAGGAATCCTGGCAAATAAAATGTGTCACAGTTTCCACAAAAATATTAACTGTTTTCAACACTGATAATAATCAGAAATGTTTCTTAAGCAGCAAATCAGCATATTAGAATGATTTCTGAAGGATCATGTGACACTGAAGACTGGAGTAATGATGCTGAAAATTCAGCTTTGATCACAGAAATAAATTACATTTTAATATATATTCACATAGACAACAGTTCTTTTGAATTCTAATAATATTTGACATTTTTACTGTATTTTTGATCAAATAAATGTAGCCTTCGTGAACATAAGAGACTTAAAAAACATTGAAACATCTTACCGACCCCAAACTTTTGAACAATAGCATCTGATGATGATTCAGAATTATAGGAAGATGAGTGCCAAAAATAAATGAAACAAAACTGCAGAAGGGCAAACTCCATCAGCTGATGCTCATTCAGTGGGTCTGAGATGTTGAAGGTCCGTCTCAGTGTTTATACCCGGCAGTTTCTTTGAAACCCCCGTCAGCGGTGCAGTATTTTTCTACAGTGTGTCGTGATGTAGAGGAGGCAGAGGGATGTGCTTAGATCTTATCGTATGTTCTCTGAGGATGTAGTTTCTGCACTGCTCAGCTGTGGTGAATGTCTTTCCCTTTAGGAGAAATTGTGAATTTTAGGACATGGATAATCTGGGGATTTAATGTAATTTTTTTTTTTATATGTGTTTATTTTATTTTATGTGGTCATTTTTGTTATTCATTCTACATGCCATAGTTTTTCCGTCTTTGTATGAAGAGTTTTTTTTAAAGGACCTGAAGGTTATTCAACATACACGTGTACAGTTATACATTTTCCTTTCTTCATTCTTTCATTCATCAAAGATTCACTGAGGTGTTTTGAGTCATCTGTGACCTCACTGAAAGATATGGAGATCAAAATGTAAATATCAGAATAAAACAACAGCTGAAGAGCAGAGGATGATGATGATGATGAAGACTGCTGGGAGTTCTTCATGTAGTGTGTTTAATCATAGACGGACGCACTTGTAAGATCTGTGGATTTACTGTACATAGAATTCTAATTCTGCATAGAATTCTAAATTCTTTGCAACAAAGTTCTATGCACATTTTTGGCACAATTTATTGCCATATTTTTAGAATACATAACCAGTGGGGTTCAAAACTCTGAGATCTTGTAGGAAAAATAAAGCTGTTTTTAAAATGTTAAAATTCTTTCTCTCTCTCTCTCTCTCTCTCTATATATATATAAATATAATTCAAAAATGTATTATAGTTACACACACACATATAAAATAACATTGTAACATTATATACATTATAACAATTTTCTGTTACTTTTTAAAATCCTAAAACTGTTTATTTCCAGGTTTAAATTTGATTTTGAAAAGTGCAGATTCTCAGATTTTTAAAAACCTCTGGTATGTGTATACCGTATATTGATGGATACTGAGTATTTTCAGCTGAGTTTAACACATTGTATCACGTTTAATGCTTTTACCCATGTTTAAATCCATGTTTTCTCAAAATCAGCACAGAAATGTGGAAAGGATGCATCTTCTGTCTGGGTCTGCTCGTAGGTCACTCAATGTCATCTACCTCACAGTGTGTGATGGCTTTACTCGCGTCCAGTGTTGTATGATGGGTCATGGTTTTTTTTTTTTTTTATAAGAATCATCTGTCATCTCAGAACCCTGTCAGTTTGAAAGATCACCCACAAGGATAGCTGACCAGACTGTGTGTGTATGTGTGTGTGTGTCACCTGCATGTACTGATCACAGACTCTGGTAGGACGTTACTCGTGAGTGTGTAGTGAAGGATCTCCCTTTAAGTGAAATTCGTGCCTCTGAGTAATTGAAATAAAAGCGCTACACTATGTCAGAGCTTATGGGTCTTGATTTCAGTGCTTTCTGTCTCATTTCATCTCTTGATGCACAGGAAGAGGAAGTAGCTCCAGGAATGATGAAATGGGGAATTTTGCAGAGCGTTTCAGTGTAGCTGGGTAGATTAGACATTCTTCTAAAACTATTTTTTTTTAAATTTTGTACAATTCTTATATAATTATTATACATGCAGTTTAAGTATGAACTCAAATTATAAATATCACATTAAAAGAAAAATGATTTGCACACACACACACACACACACACAAATTATAAAACATTAAAATAATTTGAAAAAATGTTCATGTGTTTAACACCAGGTGGCGCTAAAAAAAAAAAAGTGGCCTAAAATCCAAGTTAAGGTGTGGGTTCAGTCCAGCTGCAGATGGCTGTGTTTTTCTGTCTTCTTTCTTTGAATAGTTATTTTCAATTTTAATTATTGACTTTTGATGGTCTGAGGTCAAGAACCATCCACCAAATCAATATTTGTTCTTTGGTACATTTGGTTTCATGATACATGAATAAACAATGTAAAACCAGCCATGCACTTATAACAGACCAGCTGCTTTATATATATATATATATATATATATATACATACATACATACTGAAATTCCTGTTTTTTCCCCCAGTATTTTCTTCTAAATTGTAACTTTAGAATCTTATTCTTAATAGTTGTGTGACACTGTTAGAATTAATTCCAAATTATTGGGATCTCTTTCTAAAGCGAATATTTACCTGACTATTCACTCAACTAATTACAGTAAGCAAGCAGAGTTTGTGTGTATATAAAACAATATCTTCCTCTCCCACATTGCTGTGTGTTTTAGGGTCTGGTTTACACACACATGATCATCACATGATCCACAGCAACACACAGTCAGATCAGAGACAGGAGCTGCTGATTAAATCATTAGGAACAGAGTCAATGACAAACGCACTGGATAGAAAGTCTTTCACACAACCACATACTCACATAGGCTACAGCAGGCTCAAAAGAGTGCATTTTCACTGCTTCACTTGATTTCTTTTTTTTAATTCTTTTCATTAATGCTACTATTTTCAGCAACAATAAATCAGTCAACCAATATCTGATGAGTGAGTTTTGAGCTTTTCTGATGAGGTGCGATGAGAAGGGTCGTAGGTCAGTTACTGAATCAGTGTCACAAACTATCTGCCCAGTGATTAATCATCCTCCTCCTCCTCAATTCTGCAGTAAGCAAGTTTTGGAGCATGCAAAAACACCCGCAGCAGAAACAAGGCCGTTATTGACTCACTGTTTGTACCGTTATTGACTCATTGCTACTGTAGTTTGCAACTGAATATTGACTCGTGGGGAGGTTTGAATCGCCTTTAAATTCTTAAAGGGGTCATATGATGTTGCTAAAAATAACATTATTTTGTGTAGTTGGTGTAATGAAATGTGTTTATGCGGTTTAAGGTTCAAAAAACACATTATTTTCCACATACTGTACATTATTGTTTCTCCTCTATGCCCCGCCTTTCTGAAACGCGTCGATTTTTACAAAGCTCATCGGTCTGAAAAAGCGAGGTGTGCTGTGATTGGCCAGCTATCCACTGCGTTGTGATTGGCCGAATACCTCAAGCGTGAGACGGAAATGTTACGCCCCTCACCATACTAGGGCTGGGTATCGTTAAAAATTTTTCGATATCGATACCGATACCTTGACTTCGATACCGGTTCCTGAATG